TTGATCTTTTCCTTTCATAATCAGATTTCAGATGTCTCCTTTATCTTTTGAAAGTTTTCCTGTATGAAAATCTTATAGGAAATGAGCCAAGATTGAACATTTCTAATTAAGCAATATCTGAGTGATTCACAAGCCCTATGGGAATGAATGACTGGGGGGGTCTTTTAGAGAATTCTGAGCCAGTCAAGATTCAGACCTTCTTTCTGCTAATAGATGTTGTGTTGCCTGTGCAGATCAGCCTACATAGAAAGCTTGGCTGACTCTTATAAAACATTCATCACAGAAAATTTAATCTAATGTGTGAGTGCATGATGTAAAGAAATCTGGAATAAATGCTTCTTCTTAGTTAAATAAGTGTCCTTCTCATTCAGAAACAGTGTGTGTATGCGTGTGTGTGTGTGTGCTGGGGATGGAACCCAGGGCCGTGACCCTTTAAGAATATGCTCTGCCACTGAGATATCCTCTCAACTCCAAGAGAAAAAATTTTTAAACTAATTTTTTTAAAAACAGATTAATGATCTGAGAATACATGTCTAGGCTATTAAACCAAATATATTTTAATCATATTATTATTTAGAGATTTTTAAATCAAAAAAGCAGTGCTATGTAGTTTTGTTTACTATTATGAGGGTGTCTAACCTCATGATGCAAATGGGAGTCTGTAAGTCCATATTTATTGATGGACTGGTAAAGTTAAATAAGACCCTGTGCATGCCAAGCCCCATCTATAAGCTTGCTGCCACAAAGTACAGACCACATCCTGGAACTGGAATCTTTTTCCTCTTGGTCAGGAGGTTTAAAGGACCCTTAGCTAAGCCCCAGCTGATGACAAAGCCCTACCAGGGCTTGGCTACCCTTCCCATCTTTGAGTCAGGGTGATTGCTTACTGATCATACAGGTAAATCATGTCATTTTCCTGGTTGATCAAAACAATCATTTTCTAAGTGTATATGATATTACTTTCTTTGACTTTTATTATCTAACCAATAAATTTAATGCTAACATTATATTTAAAGAATGTCTTCAATTTTTCAAATTGCACCAGAACAAGACTTTCCCCTGATATTTGCTGAGGTCCATACCTCCACTAACACATTCCGGGACCATGGTTTATGTTATTTAAAATTACATGAAAGTGTCACAGCATCAGCTTGAATCTTGTTCTTCATTCTGCCCCACAAAAAACTGAAAAATATATTATCGTTCCCAAGACACACTTTTGTTATGCTGAAGGCAATCTTCAAAATGTTGGAAGCTAGATATTTTTCTTTAGAGACAGGATTTGCAAAGTCTCTACATTGCCCAGGCTTGGCTTGACCTTGCAATCCATCCTGTCTCAGTGTCCCAGAGGGCTGGGATTACAGGCTAGCTTGGAAAACAACCTTATTAAACATTTTCATCTTGAGACATAATCAGAAAGGAGGAGGGAATAAGAATGGAACAGCTAAAACATTCCTTCAGATTAAAGATTCTGGCTCACATCATTACAACTGTATATACATGAAGTTGGCAAACAATCAACCCTACACTGACACCCATGCCACCTCTCCACTACCACGCCCACACCTACACCCACAAAGTAAGAGCTGAAGTTCTAACATCTCACTCAAAACCCAATAAATATGAATTAGCGTAACTTGAAAATAACCTCTAACAAAACCTCTAACAAGAAATGGAGAAAAAGAGAAAAAAGAGAGATATGGTAAAGAGTCAGAAAAAAACTTCAAATTAACTGTAATGAATACTCTTAAGGGTGGCAAATGAAAACAATATATTCAAAGGATGAAGACAAGGTCTCCAGAACCAGGAGAAAGAGAGGACTTCCCACTGTGAGAGTGGCCAATACCCAGGACTCTACCTATCATCAAGCCTAGAGACCAGCAGAGAATTCAGGCAAAAAAACCCCAGGAGCTCTTGAAGGAATGTCTCCAACAAAAAAAAAGAAAAAGAAAAAGAAAAAGGTGACTCAGTTCATTTAACCCTGTTTGAAGGAACTTTCAAATTTAATCAAAGGGTTTAGTAATAATAGACCCAATGGGATTGGCAGACCCTAAGAGTTTCCATTTTCCACTAGTGTATAACAAACCCCAGTACTGATGGGTTTACGATAATAATTCCTTGTTGTGACAGGCTCTGTGAGGTGACAGGACTCCACTGTGTTTTCCTGAGGACCTTTCCTGTAAATAGTCAGATCCTGGCAGAAGTTGAAACCATCCAAAAGTTTGGTGGCTGGATATACAAGATGACTTTTTATTCACAAATCTCCAACTGGGGCAGAGGTGGGGAGGAGGGAATCTGTCACAGCAAGAGAATGACCAGGCATTGCCATGCTGACTGGGGCTTCCTCATTACATGGCTACCAGTGCCTCTAGAGTCTTTCTGTCTACACAGCCTCTAGAGTCTAGATGTTGACTTCTTTGGGTAGCCATAATTCAGCCATAGCACCAGTCTCCCTCAGAGCAAGATATCTAGGCTGAAGTTGCAAAGCTTCTTATGACCTAGCCTCAAAATCCGGAAATGTCACTTTTGCTCCATTCTTTGGTCAAAGCCTAGCCCTGCTTCAAGAGGAGAGAACTACAAAGGCAAGAAAGCTGACAGTGTATTGGGAACCATAGTTCTCAACAAGCTCTAACATTAATCAAATAAATAATACAATTACCAAAGGGGAAGGTGACATTGAATGCAACATGAATGTAAAAAAAGTTGTGTAGATGAGACCAATATTTACATGTAATTACACAAATACTATATATATATATT